AGTTACTCAGATAAAGTTTAAGATAGAATATATTTTACTTGTTTTATATTAAATCATATTTGAAAAATAAGTATACTAATTCTAATTATAACTTAAAAGTTAATTTGTATGTAATAACTATAGTATCTTCATATAATTAGATAATCAATTTATTTTAAATAACTAGATACTACTCAAAGTATAATATAGGTTTTGAAATTCTTTTTTTTATATTCTTGGATAGTACTAAGAAGTATAAAGAATGGGTTATATTTATAAAGTCTTATATTTAACTTTTTCTAGTAAAGAAATATGTATATTATATTATTGATCTTGTAAATTTTATAATTTATAAGTTTAAAATTATAATAATAATATAAAGCATAATAACTTTTTTTTAATTATATTTATTTTATTTAAAATTTTTATTAATAGTAATTTTGGTTAAGAAAAAATACTTTATATTCTTTATTACAAATAAGTTTTAACTTAGAAACTTAAGAATATTAAAATCAATTAATATAATAAACAAAACATATAATTTCTATATATTTTATCTTATACAATAATAAATTTGATAATACTATTGGATATAATAAAAATGTAAAATAATAAGATATTTGTTTTGTTAAAAGTATTATAATATTTTTTTTTCATATACTAGTTTCTTTTCTTTTTAAAATTAAAAAAAGTTTTATTTTAATCCAATAAAAAGTTTATTTTATTGATAATTATCTTGAAAAAATATTAAGTTATAGTTATAAGACTTTTTTAAACAATAATTTATATTATAAGTCTTATTATAAATATTTTGAATATTTTTGATTAACAATGAAATAATAAAAATTAAATAGTTTATCTAGTTATAAATAATAATAAAGAATTTATTCTAATGAATTAAAATTAATTTTGAAAGGTTTTTATTTATTAGAATAAACTTTTTAAATAAATATATATTTTTGTACTTTTTAGAATTATAGATTTATATTAAGATAATAGTTTAAATATAGACTGATATTAATTTTTTCAAAATTAAAAAAAATAATCTTGAAAAAAAATAAATTTATTATTTCTTATGATTACACTTAGAGAGTTAAGATTTGAAAAGTTTAAAATAGTTAATATTATACATGTTGCTGAAATTCGTAGATCCTTGACGCACTTGACACAATTATTTGACGCAATTAATTGAGTCACTATTAAAACATATAAATAATTGAGTCATGACGCAATTATTTTTGAGGATTTTGGGAATTGAGTCAATAGCAAAATAATTTATGCCACATGTATAGTTAATATTATGTAGCAATAGCTTAATAAACTTATTTTTTTGTAATAAGATAGTTAATAAATAACTAAATTATATGAACAACATAATAATTTTAATATTAAGAATTTAAAAATTATATAAAAATCTAAAAATAACTGTCAATGAATATTTTACAATACTTAAGTAGTTTAGCTTTAATTTAATATCATAGTATATAATGTATTATTATTTTCTAAAAGATTAGAAGATTTTTTATATAAATTAATTTTTACTTTTATTTTTATTTTTTTTGTTTTTAATAAGACAGCAATTCTATATATTTATTCAATAAATTTTTATAATTAAAAAAATAACTCAAAATTTATATATACGCATATAAATTATTAATAATATCATATTTAAATATATGTTCAAAAACTTTTGTACCATACTGTATATCAAAAAATCCCTTCTTCAGAACTATATTGTTGGTAGAAAACGTGTAACACAACTCTGCGTAATCAATGATACATCACATGACTGAATTTAATGATCCCTTCACAATTCTTCTATTCACAAATGAATTCATTACCGCCTATTGAACCCACGATAGATCAGCTTTCTACTTTAAGCGTGGATAGCCTAACGTATGAGAAGCGCCGTATAGAAAACTCTATTTTTCATTTGACTCGCTCAAACGAGGAAATGAAAAGCTTTGATGAAGATGATATTGACTTCAAAACGGCGATTAAGGAAAACGAAGATTATATACTGAAGTGATTATTAAAAATTACGCTTTTGTTCGTTCAGCAAAAACAAGTTTCCTCTAATTCGCATTTTGATCGATTATTTGCAGATTGCGTGATAAAATTAACATTATTCAAAATATTTTATTGGAGAGACAGCAAAACGGGAACCTTTGTATAGAACCAGAACCACTAGCGACGACCGACGACAGCACTCAGGAGTCAAACTCGATTCACCTTGATTTAGATACACAGGAAACGTCCATTGCACATGATGTGCTCAGAAATAATATTGAAAATAATGACAACAATCAAAGCGAACAATTGAATGATGCAAACGATGGAATTTATTTGTGATTCACGATAAAGCCGTTGTGTTGGCTTTTCTGTAAATAATTTAGGGACTTCATAATATGAATAACCAAACGGAGATGTGCCTTTTTTTGCAATTCATTATGATTCGCGTAATTTTATGTCAGGATCTTGTCGAATTTAAAGAGATCATAATCTTGAATTAGTGTGATTTAAGTTGTGTTGTCAGTTTCATTGAATGTACTATCCTGTATACCACCTTTTTAATAAAAATCGACGAGTTCAGTCAGTATTCACAGATGCGATTCTCTAGGGCCTCATACAATATTTGCCTACGTAATTTATGTTTCACGGTGTCGATCATACGTTCAATGTACTACTGCATAAGATCATGATAGGTACATTATATACGTATATAAAGATCCATGCCTCTACGTTCATTCATGGATCAACATTTGACTCAAATCGAATTAGCCCTCTTTGAGTTGGATAAACTTTTTAAAGTCGTAGTGGAAATTCATTGATCAACCGCAGTAAGAATCACCTCACAGTATGACACAAACTGAAAACACAGGAGCAAAACTCAACTTTCTAGAAGACGAACTGATCTTATGTTTTCACGGTCCGTTACTTTATGAAGCAAAGGTATGTTTTGACCCTAGCCTAGTTGAAAGATTTTAGAGGATAAAATACACGTGAAACTTTATTTACAAGAAGTTGGAATTTTGGAAATTTTTTAGATTCTCAAAGCAGAAAGCTGGGGTCCTACCGATTCCGAATCTGGGGAAGTTGGGCCACATTATTTTGTGCACTATAAAGGATGGAAGAAAACGTATGTTTGTTGGTTGATTCTTAATAAAATCATATTAAAGATCTTTATTAATCATCAATTAACAATTAACAGTTGGGATGAATGGGTTCCAGAGGAAAGAATTGTGAAATATAATGATGCTAATCTGGCCAGGCAAAAACAGTTAAAAGAAACGTATTCAAATAAGAAAAAGAAACTTGTTGTTAAAGATCGACCAATTGCAAATGTGCAGGAATCATCAGAGAATTCTATAAGTAAGCGCCAAAAAATTGACACGACACAAGAAACAAAAAAAAATGTACAACAAAACCAAATAAAGAGAACAACACAGGATCATCAAAAGAGCATCACACAAAATGATATGATTACAAATATAGATAATGAATCTGAACAGAATGAAAGTCCAAAATCCGAGGATGCTTCTGTGAAACTAGAGGACCAAGAGATAAAAAATGCCGAAGACGATCAAAAAGAGACAGAAAGCGAAAATATGGAAGGAAATCAAAGTCAACAGCGTTTAAAGAAAAGGAAACAGATAGAGGAAGAAGAAGAAGAAGTTAGCTGATTTCTTAATTGATTCGTAACTATATAAAAACGAATATTGACTTTTTTCTTCATTATTACAAGGAGGAAGAATATATGAACCGATTGGAAATTAGAATTTCGATGCCTGAATCACTAAAATGTAGATTGATAGATGATTGGGAGAATGTCACTAAAAATCATTCGGTACGAATCATAAAAATATAATACATCTTGGTTTTGATTATAATCATTTTTAATCTCTATTCGTGAATGTGCAATATATATATTGTAGTTGTTAAAGCTTCCTCGAACACCGAATGTTGTGGAAATTCTGAACCAATATTTAGATTACAAGCGTAAAAACGTGGCGTCAAATTTATCATCATCATCAAAGACAGAAAAGTTTGTCTCATCCATTTTATTATCTATTATTTATGAATCTCGCTAATATTCTTATTTTTCAATAGAGGTGACATTTACACGGAAGTTGCACATGGTATTCAAGTCTATTTTGAAAAAACATTGGGCAACATTCTCTTATACGGATACGAGCGACAGCAATATGTCGACATCCGCAAGCAATATCTAGAAAAAGAGAATACAGAAATTTACGGGGCTGAACATTTACTGAGACTTTTTGGTATGACCCAGCTATTGATGCTATAAGACGTGATTTACATTGTGCTATATATAAACAATTTATATGAAAAATTAGTTGAACTTCCTCGGTTACTCGCACATTCGCATTTGGATAAAGCTGCAACTGATACTCTAGAGGAACATTTGGAAGATTTCTTAAAGTATTTATAATTATTTCTTGATTAATATACGTGTATGTTATATTCATTATTCCTTTTACTTTAATTTACAATTTAACATTATCGTTGTGTCAAGATTCTTGCAAAAAAACGAAGAACAATACTTTATCACCGAATATGAACGTCATGGGGTTCAGCCTGCAAAGAAGCAAAGGACAACCAACGAGAAAAAGACGTATGGTTATAATGTTAATAATTCTGAGGGTAAATAGTTTTGTTTCATTAATCATTAGTTCTCTGTATAATTATTAATGCATGACGTTTATTGTAGGGTGGGTTTGCGGTAATTGTGGAACTTCAAACACTCCAGGGTGGAGGGCAGGGGAGACCCCAGATCAAAAACTGTGCAATGGTACAGTATATATATCTTTTCATTTGAATCGTTTTATTAGTTATTTCGCTTATTGAAATTACGATACTTTTTTGACACAGCATGTGGTCTTTATTATGCCAAATATAAATCGCATCGTCCATCAAGTTTGTGGAATAATCATAGAGGTAATAGATCCTCATAATTATGCATTTTATTTTTTTAAACCTATGTCAAATTGTTGTTTCCATTCGTGCATCTATGGAGCTTATTAACTAAAAGTAATCAAATAGTAAAAGAAAAAAACATATAATTTTTTTACATTTTGAATCATGTTATTATAACTGCAATCAATTTCATTCATGATTTGCATAACTGCATCTTTCGAAAAGCTTAATAAACAATGATGTGGATTGATTAATTTAAAAAATAATTTTAGAAATCTTTATTTAGTTCTTATAATAAAAAAAAGTTATTCAAAATAAATTATTAAAAATATACAGCATATAAAATTTATATTCGTTTAAAAACTTTTCTAGTCTTTTTATACAAAAATTTTTTTATTCTTTTAAAATGTTTTATTTTATTAATTTAATTTTTGATTATATTGTATTAAAATTGTAAAAAATAAAAATATGAGGAAATAATAAATTATAGAATTTAAAATTTAAAATAAAAATTATTATTATTATTATTATTATTTAACATAATATACTGTTTTAAAGTTTCTTTTTAATATAGGTTAAATAATTTTTTTGTAATAGGCTAGTATTTAACTTGTTAATATATTTTTGTATATTATATATTGTATAAGAGATGTTTACTTTTTTTATAATCGATATTTTATATATACAAATTATTATAAGCTTCTCTAAATAATAATAATAATAGAACTCTCCAGTATCTGCCTAGCCCCCGGCAATATCCTATTAGCAATACTCGACATTATTCAATGGAGTTCCCAATGCAATACCATTGAAATCAGAAATAA